TTCGACTGCAGCAACAAACAAACAAACTTCGCTTTAGAAACGCCTTCTAAAATGCAGCAACAATTACGCTTCGATTTCAAAAACTCGTCCGTTCTATCTATTTTCAGAGGATATTTAGCTTATATTTTCATCGGATATGTTATTTATATTTAACCGATACAAATACAAAAGTGTCGATACTTTTATGTCAGGTGTCGATACTTTCGAAAGGATAATTACCTATTTCTTTGAAAGTGTCGATAATTTATTACACGTACTTACGAAAGTATCGACACTTTCAATATATCCGGTATCATTTTACCGATTTTATCATTTTGATACCGGTTTTATCATATTTTTACCTGTTATATCGTTGTGGATCGATATATTTTTTTAAAGTATCGACACATTATAGGCGCTAAAACTGTTTCTCTTTTAAATTCACAAAGTGTCGATCCTTATATAAAGTATCGACACTTTTAATATATCCGGTAACCTTTTACCGGTTTTATCGTTTTGATACCGATTTTATCATATTTTTACATGGTATATCGTTTTGGATCGATACATTTTTTTAAAGTATCGACACTTTATAGGATTTAAAACTGCTTCTCTTTTAAATTCACAAAGTGTCGATCCTTATATTAAAGTACCGACACTTTAAATGTATCCGGTCTTTACCGGTTTTATCATTTCTATACCGATTTTGTCATAGTTTTACCTGTTATATCATTTTGGATCGACACATTTTTAATTTGGATCGACATGAACCGGTAGCACAATTTTTTAATATTTCTTCATGACTTAGACCTACTTTTATAAGTATGGACACTTTTATAAAAATGATATATGCTTTTTTTAAGTTATGTAATTTATGTTTCAATTTTTTTTAATAGTGTTTCATGTTTTCCACCTACAATATTAATTTAATAATTTCATTTACACAAAAAATTATTTGATTGTATTGATATTTTATAAAATATTATTTAGAATTTAAATTTAACAATATTAACCAAAGATAATAATAAATATATTTTCACAGTGAAATAAGTATGGACACTTTTATAAAAAGGATAGATACTTTACAATATAACAAGTAAAAATATGACAAAACCAGATTCATTATGACAAAACCGGTAAAATTTACTTGATATGTTAAAAGTATGGACACTTTTATAAAAAAGATAGATACTTACCGATAACCAAAGTTTACCGGTTACCAAATTTTTTAATAGTTTTTCATATTTTCTACCTAAAACATTATTAGTTGTCAACATAATAGGTACCGCTAAACCAAATTTATTAAATACATTTTAATGTATCTGGTATTGCCGTATATTAACCGTATATTAACCCTCAATCCCGACACCGACCATAGTCCATAAGAAGCGCAAATTAAGTAACACTTGGATGCGCCAAGAAAGCTTTCAAAAGGAGTGAGCAAATCTTTTAGTTGCAGTTGTAAAATACTACACGGCTTTCTTCGTTAGGTTCCCGAAAGCTGTGCCCTGTGGGATGAGATGCCTCAGCCAAATACAAAAAGAAGCGTGGCTGCTGGGACTCAAGCCCAGGTCTTTACGGCCACAACGTGGAATTCTTTCCACTAAACTCAACCAGCAGGTGGTATCCATTTCGCAAGCGTTCTGAGTTACTCTTAGAAAACGAACTCAGTGAACGAACCAAAAGAACCTTCGATTATTCCTATTTTACAGGTCAATATTATTTAAGAATATATTAATTTTAATTTTAAAATATAGTAAATATAATTGATTTCAATTTAAATATTATTTTTGTTCATTATATTAAATTTTAGTGTTTGGTTCAATAAAATAATAATAACGTTTGGCTTAATGGTTAAATGTTGAATTATTCTATGTCATCTTTCTATTAAATGATACTAATATATTAAATAAAAATAAATAAATAATAGTATAAAACAATATTTGATTGAACTATAAACAAATAAAATAAATAAGAATCAATTTCAAAATAGATTATTTGTTAAAGATTTAATGTATCATTTACTTTTTTTTATAAAATCAGTCAATCAAAATTTTCTTTTTTTATTTGTTTTTGATGTGCTTTTTTTTTGACTAGATTACTTGAAGATTTTGACAGTGGTTATTTTAGGATATTTGTTGACCATAGTTGCTCTTTGGATTGCCTATATTTCTTTTTGATTTATCTAATAATTTTTATTCTCTTTGATAAAAGACAATCCAGTTGTTAAAATTCTGTATGGTGAGTGGAAGTGGGATTTGTTTCGTGACTTACTCCCTACATCGGCTATACTGTCCATCGCTACTGTTCGGCCTCCTTTGGCTATGGGAGGTCTGGATAAACCAACCTGGAGATGGGATAAGCACCGACGTTTCCCGACAAGCAGTGCCTATCTAAAGCGAGCTAATGATGAAGTTATTACAGATCGGTCTACATGGAGTGTTCTTTTGAAGTACAGAGGTTTACCTTGGTTGAGAATGCTTCTTTGGATCATTTGCAAAGGTAGACTCCTTTCTAACGAGGAAAGGGGGCGAAGACACATGGCAACGAGTCTGCACTGTGATGTTTGTGGTGCAGCGATTGAATCTACTTCTCATGTGCTCCGAGAGTGTACTCTGGCCCGAGCAACTTGGCAACAGTTGGTTCATCCTTCCCGGATGGAGGAATTTTGCAGCATGGATATGAAACAATGGGCGGTTATTAATATCACGAGACAGAATTATTTTGCTACTAATTCGACAGACTGGGATCTACTGTTTGGATCGGTAATTTGGTGTCTTTGGAATTGTCATAATCGTCTTTTATTTGATGAGAATTTCCTTGCTGATGATACTGTCTTACACCAAAGTAAACGACCACAAAATGAAGCGATACAGGTGGTTGGATCATGGGTTTTGCCAAAGCCATTGGTGTTTGTTCAGTGCTTGATGAGAGCTTTGGGGAATATTCGAAGGTTTATCCTTGGCTTGGAATTTGGGATATCGCTCGATCATGGTCCAAATGGATAGTAGGGAGGCTTTATCAGCAATTGGTTTTGGCTATGATAGGAAAGGAAGTTTAAGTTCCTCGATGTTTCCACATATTCAACTTCTTGTTAGGAACTGGAATTTGAAAATTGTCTTTGCACCTCGGGAGACGAGGGAAGCCTTCTTGAAGGATGCTTGCTCTGCAGTGAACTACAACACTGCTAACTAGCTTGTCTTTTATATTTTCTTATTCAAAAAGTAATAATAATAATAAAAATAAGATAAGTATTTAATATTTTAACCATATATATATAGTTAGGATATAATTTGCACAATGTAAAATTATTAATTTTACATATAATTAGAATTGTTGTATGATTGAAAATAGACGGCTGAGGTTAACTGCTTATTTTTTTTTACAGTGAATATATTTTTATTTCCTAATGTTAATCTTAGTTAGGGATAGACATGAGTTTGGTTGGGTCGAGTTTTCGGCCAACTCGACTCGACCCGAAAATTTTATACCCTCCACCCGAAACCTGACTCGACCTGAGTTTAGGGTAATTTCATTCGTCTTGAAAGCCGACCTGACTTTTGAGATAAAATTCGACTCCGACCCTACCCGAATCGAAATAATATAAAATTATTAATTTTATTCAATAAAATAAGGACTCAATTAAAATATATATATATATATATATATATATATATATATATAAGGTATAATTATATTTTTTAGATTAGGGATTCAATAAAATAGGGTATATTACATTTATCCCTAAATATATAATGTATAATTATATTATTTTTCAGATTAAGTTTGGTTGGGTTGAGTGTTTTTCACCTTAAACCTAAATCTAATCCGACCCGACCTAAATTTATTTTTTTCAAAAAATAACTCAACTCGATTGGGTCAAGTCGAATCAAAACCCATTCAATTTGGGTCTCATACTCATTCGTAATCTCAACTATGTATTTTTACTTATTTAGTGATTCCATGAAATATTTTCCAATGCTTTACTGAACAATGATGTATTGTGGACGAATACACTGGACACTAAGTAAAATCTAGAATAAGCGTAAAATTTTATTTACAATATAGAATTTTAAAATATTAATTAAATTGAAATTTTAATTCAATAATTATATTTAATTATATAAATAAAAATGTATTAAATTCAATAATTATGTTTAATTATATAAATAAAAATTTATTAAATTCAATTTAAAAAAAAATTCCATATCAAACACAATTATACTAAATATTTTTTTTATATTTGATATATATTTTATTATTTTTATATTTTTAATTTTATATCAACTATAATTAAAGAAATATAAGTTTTAACAATAATTTATAAATATTTAATTTGATTTAGTGATTATGTATGAGTACACTATTTAAATTTCAAGTTTGATTTTATATTTTTATTTTCCTACTTCTTTCTAATAGAATATATGGATGATGAGAAGTAAATATATTATTATTTTAATTAAAATTAAATTATAAAATATTACGGAGTTTTCTTTCCCAAAAGCTTGGACTGAGATTGGGAAAACCCAAAACTACTTTGGGCGCTTTTAAAGGTAACTAAGAAGTTCAAAATTGAACGCCCAATAAAATTGGTAAAACCACCAAATTAAAAAGAGTGTGGCTGCTGGGATTCGAGCCCAGGTCTCCACGGCCACAACGTGGAATTCTTACCACTAAACTACAGCCACTTAATGTAAATTGTTTCGCAAAAACATTTAACTTCTTTTTAAAAACTGAGCTCAGTGAAAATAACCGACGAGAAAAAAGCCTTCGTATATTCGTATTCTATATTCCTTCTTCCACCTCCCGCTGACGCAAACGCGACGCAAGGCATCTGCCATTAATACCTTAATTATAACCTTAATTTAGTTATGGCCCTTAAACTCAAACACGCTTAAATTCAATCCCCTACCACCCTAATTACCTATTATAACCATTTTAATCCCCCAACCCACCCTTTCTTTAAAAACCCCGCGTTCGTTTAGCCACTTAAGATCCATCATTTTGATAATAGATAAACTTGAATTTTTTTTTATTGAGGTTTTAAAATTTAAACCTTGAATTTGGTTTGGTGTGATCTGTAGTTTAAGTTTCGTTATCAAGGAGCCATCATTGAAACCTCTCACTTTTCGTAAATTTGAAGGCTCTCCGTTCCACTTCTTTTTCTTAGAAATTGATTTGGTGGAAGAAGTTTCGATTTTTACAACCATTTTTGAAGTTATAAATAAGGCTATCTGATCCCAGGTTTTTTGCGCAAGTAAGAAATCAATATAGCAAATTCTGAATCAGGTCTTCGTATTTCAATCTATATCTAAAACCCAATCCCTTTTTCTCAATTTCATTTTCCAAATCTATCTTTCAGCCCTCTTTTTTTTAAAAAAAAAAAAAATCTTAATCAGGCCTTCTTCTCTAGCAGGTTTTTGAGTTAAAACGCGAGATCTGAGCAATGGCAGCAAATTCATCAAATGGGGAACAACATTCACCCTCAAAGCCACCACCTTTGCCATCTCCTTTGCGCTTTTCTAAGTTTTTCCAGGTTTTTTTTTCTTTCTTTCTTTATTTATTCAATGCTAAAATGGTGATGTCAGTTAAGTTTATTGAACATGTTATGCAGTTTTCTCTTTCATTCTGCTAATCGATCTAGTGTGATTGTGATGTTTTCTACATCTGGTTAGTTGCTTTATTGTGTGAATTATTATGATATGTTGAAAAGTTATATTGAGCTTAGCCTTTGATTATGGCGTTAGAAAAATTGTTTAATGTGAGCAACCTAAAGTGGGGCAGACGATGTATGCCGGTATGGTTCCTCAGCTAATTAACTATGAACCATAAATGAGCAGTAGGTGACTGTACACTTAGCCTCATGGATCCCACTTGATTTGCAATCTAAAGTATACCAATTTGATCCAATGTGTTCTACTCTTTGTAAATTCTCGTTTTGTGATGAATCTGTTCACTGTTGGATAATCCTCCACCTAAGTCCTAACATTCAAAAACATGTGGCAGGCCATGTTCCAAAAATGACCACTTTTCCTTGATTTCTTGACGTGTAATTTTCTTTCTTTACAAAAATAAATGCCATGAAATTACTGAGAGTATTATAAGAATAAACAATTCTTCGAAAGCAATTCAGTCAGATCTACTAAGAATCAATCTTAATCTAAATTGCTGATGAATCCCAGTATAGTTGTCCCTCCTGAACAGGTAGTTCCAGAATCACAGATCATTATGGTTAAATATTCAGCTTAGATTTGTGAATAATGTGTGAGATCTTGTTTATCTATTTACTTTCTTGATTTTTATGTCCTTGATCTAACTACATCTTATATGAAGTTTGGTTTATCAGTTTCATTACATTTTGTCTTCATCTACATTTTCATTTATATCTCTAATACTATCACTGCAGTCCAACATGAGGATTTTGGTTACCGGAGGAGCTGGTTTTATTGGTTCTCACTTGGTGGACAAATTGATGGAAAATGAGAAAAATGAGGTCGGTAGATTTCCTTATCTTATCTAAGCTTTGTTTTGTTGTTTAGAGATGACAAGCAGAATTGATACGAGCATCGGATCCATCATGCACAATGGTTACTATGTTTTGTACCATTATTTATGTTTACCTTATACTCAGGTGATTGTTGTTGATAACTACTTCACTGGATCAAAGGACAATCTTAGGAAGTGGATTGGTCATCCTAGATTTGAGCTTATTCGTCACGGTAAGTTCGTAAAGTTTCAGGGTCTCTTGATATAAAAGCATTTCTTTTTGGTTATTGTTAGGTATAATATTGTGGTGAATCATAATGGGTCAGTGTGTAGCTGCTCCATAGAAATCATGTTGGCTGTTGTTGTATCTCGTATTCCAAATTCTCCATGCTGAATTGAAATGGATGGATTTTGGAGTAAAGACTGTTCAGATTATCATATTACTATATCAGAGAAACAAATCTTGAGAATTTGACATTTATAAATTCTGTATCATCATTCACTTTGCCTCCACTGCAAAGTATTGCAAAACAAAATGGTTCAGAGGGAATGGGCAGTGAGTGTAAAAGTTTTGTTTTTAATGAAAATATGTGATTGTATTTCTTCCAAAACCACTCTAATGTCAAATTACAAAAGGACTGCATTGCTACATTGGTCGAGATGGATTTCTTTTCTTTTCTAGTATTTGAATATGCATCTCTTCTTTCCTTTGCAGATGTCACCGAGACACTGTTGGTTGAGGTTGATCAGATTTACCACCTGGCATGCCCAGCATCTCCAATTTTCTACAAATACAACCCTGTGAAGGTGGGTGCTGGTTTTTCTGATTGCTTTCTAAAATATTTTTGGCCAGTTCATTAATTTTTACTCTATTTTCCCATAGACAATAAAGACAAATGTCATTGGCACACTGAACATGTTGGGACTTGCAAAGCGAGTGGGAGCAAGGTATGGGATTTTAGTTCTCTATCAATATATTTAAGTTCCCCTCGCCACTGGCTTTACTCAATTGGTATTTTGCGTAACAGGATCTTGCTCACATCAACATCCGAGGTGTATGGGGATCCTCTTATCCACCCACAACCCGAAAAATATTGGGGCAATGTTAATCCGATCGGTAAGTCTATTGAGAAAACATTTACGCATTGGCCGATCTTTTTGGTAGTTAGATTCAAATGAAACTTCTGTACTTGCAGAAGATAAAATACTTGATCTAGAAGATACATTCTCGCATTATAATGTATTCTATTTCTTCTCAAATCTGCCACAGTTCCTTGGAGATGCAATGCACATCAAAGTCTGATTGGCAGAATGCATACTGTTATACGACATTATTCTGACACTGAATGCTTCTTTCTTTAGGTGTCCGGAGTTGCTATGATGAAGGAAAGCGTGTGGCTGAAACCCTAATGTTTGATTACCATAGGCAGCATGGGATCGGTAAATTTTCTTGGTTTGCCTGAATGATGGTATCCTGTTATTTTTCTTAATTCTTAACATTGTTCTTGTATCCATTTCCATAGAGATCCGCATTGCTAGAATCTTCAACACATATGGGCCACGCATGAACATTGATGACGGGCGTGTTGTGAGCAATTTCATTGCTCAAGCACTTCGGTAAATATTATGTTATAATGTGTTATATTATGGTTTCCATATTACCTGCCTCCATTTAGTTCTTAAGTAATAAATTTGTTGTCAACTAGAACCCAATTTACTTATCAGTTACTGACTTAATCAAAGAACAAAAAGAACCTGTTGCCCTACTGTTGTTACCTTTTAGTCATTTAGAAAACTTTCTTTGCTTCTAGATTTTCCCATGAGCTAGTTTGTCTCTCATTTAACTTTTTCCTTTTTGCACTTTGTAGTGGTGAACCACTGACAGTTCAAAAACCCGGGACACAAACTCGCAGTTTTTGTTACATCTCTGACATGGTATGCTAGTTATTATGAATTTTAATGATTTTACTAGCTTTGGTTCTTTGTGATAGCATCGCTCTGTTATAATTAGATTGAATTATAACATTTTCATAAACGGCTAGGTTGATGGCCTTATTCGTCTCATGGAGGGGGAGAACACCAGTCCAATCAATATAGGAAACCCAGGTTAGCCTGCAACTTTTATGTTATAGGCAATGTTCATCTAGGATGTATCTTTAGCTCTGAGGCTTATGGCCATTGTAATGCACTTCTGCATATGTTCTTTGTACTCTTTTAGGTGAATTTACCATGCTCGAGCTTGCTGAGACGGTAAAGGAGGTGAGTTTCATAGTTTCATTTCAAATGTTGTTTTGAATGGGGAAATGCAAAGTGCTACTCTTTTTTAAACTTATCCGGTTTCGGTACCATGTTGCATTGTTGCAGCTTATTAATCCGAAGGTGGAGATATATATGGTGGAGAACACTCCAGACGATCCAAGACAAAGAAAACCCGACATCACAAAAGCGAAAGAGTTGCTAGGGTGGGAGCCAAAAGTGAAGTTGCGGGACGGTCTTCCTCTAATGGAGGAGGATTTCCGGTTGAGGCTCGAAGTGTCCAACGAGACATGAAAGTTAAAATAAGAAAAGCATGAATGATTTATACAGAGTTGGAATGGGTGATTTCAGTGCTTGTGGTGGGAAAACTGGGAGCTTATGTTATCTGTGATCTTTAGTTTATGCTCTGTGTCCCTTGTTCTTAATGATTTCATAGAAAATAAACCCCACCCGTGAAACTGGTTTAATTTTGGTATGGCATATAGATGGTGCCGTTGCCTTGAATTTTGTTCGTTACAATCAATTAATAAAAATTCCATGATGATTATGTGTTTTTACTTTCTTGACCAACTATTTAGGTGTACTATCTTGCCTATGTTTAGTCAATTTTTTTTATAACAATCCAGTTTTTTAGTGGAAGAACAGGTCAGCTAGTGCTTTCTAACCAGGTTTGTGAATCTCAGGTCAGTTATTATTCTTTTTTTTTAAAAAAAGGAATTTGTTTTCTTAAAAATTTTGAAAAAAAAAATTATTAGGGCTTTATAGTTTTTGAAAACTGCTCTTAATTATTTTAAATTCTTTAAAAAAATTAATTCGATCTTTCAAAATTTTCATTAAGACCTTAAATTTGAAATTTTCATCAAATTTTTAAATTTTTTATAAAATTTCATTAAAATATATTATATGTTTTTTAGAAAAATTGTATATATTTTAATACATAGAAACTTGAAAATATATACTACTTTTTTAATACCTTTTCTCTTTATTTGCTCACTAGGGCTTCAACTCGGTCAAACTTCCATACTGATTACTTTATTATGTATTTCTGTGTAGACTTAATTTCCAATGTAACTTTTAAATCCCTTTCTGATGTAATGATTTTATATATTGAAGAGATTCTTAATGGGAAAAGATAGGTTTCATTGATTTATAAATTCAATATAAAGAAAATAGAGTCCCATTACACTGAAATGAATCTATGAAAAAATACAAATAAAAAAATTAGTATGACCACTCGACTAAAAATCAAATCATGTTGAAATTAAATCCCATCAGAGATAGACCGAGGGGGAAACCCTTAAAGAACTGTATAGGAGGTTCTACTTCTATAACAGCTAGCTCTGTTAAAAACTACTAGTAGTAGTAATACTCATACTTGGCCATCATCAAAGTTATCAAATGCTAAGGCGCATCGAGGCGCAAAGTGTCCTGGAATCTTAAGGCGCATGAAAAGCGCGAGATTCACAAAGGTCATGAATTCATAAAGGCGAGGCACATGATATCTAAAAAATTGTAATTTTATTTTTTAATTAATTTTTATTTATTCATATAAAATAAATTGAAAATAAATGATGGTGTGACATATTTTAATTGATTTTTAACGGTGTTAATAATTTATGACAAACAGAATAATGATTTTATAGTTAATAAGTTCGAAAAATATTTTAGAAACAACATTGTATAAATTGTATAATTCATGAGGTAATGGTACATTTAACCCTATAAAGTATAAACAATGATTAGTTAATTAATTAATTAATATGGTAAGAACAGAATAGGTGCGGCTTCTCGAGTCTTCCACAGACCCGATTATAAGTCATCTCCTTTCTTCCTCGAGTCCATGCCCTTCAATTTCTCACCATCGCAATCATTTTCATCTCATTTCTTCTTATAATTCATTTTCTGAGAATCAGCAATGTCTCGTATCCTTATTCGGTAGGATTCATGTAAAATATAGGAGGAAATTTTGTATTTCTGTGTTTTTATTTGTGTTTATGTTTTGCCTTTTCTTCCTTAACACAAGCCAAATGGGCAACCAGAGAGATCGAGATCGAGAAAGGGCTCAAGCCAGAGCTACACGCACAGGCAAGAACTCCAGAGACGATGGGTTAACTCCTGAACAACACCGTGAAAGGTTTCCTCTTTGTTTTCTACTTTCAATTTTCTTTATTTTGTTATAAATTTTGCTTCTTTCTTTACTTCTGGTCTTTTGGGAATTGTGTCCGATGGGCAGAGATGCAAACGTTTGGACTGATTTACAATGAAATTGATTTCATTTTCAGCATTATGCAATCGATTTTTACAAAATTAAAACATTAAAGATCAAAACTTTATACTGAGAGATTTGTTATGGAGATTAATAAAACATTGGCAAAAAGCCTAATTGCGCCTCGACATAGCCTCGCGCCTTAGAGCCTAAGTGCGCCTAGGCTACGTGCATCGCTTCAGTATTGAAAAAGCCCCGTTCAGTGAGCCTCGCTTTTGCGCCTCAGGCGCGCTTTTTACAACTATGGGCATCATTAAGTTCATAGACCAAGAACTGGCAAACAATGGCACATAATGTCACGTTTCAATTTTCATGATAAAAAGAAAACAGAATCAAGGGCATTAAACATATTATAAAGATGTTTTCAACATTTATTCAATGCAAAATCATTAATTGATGATAAAAAAACATAATTCCAAATAGAGTGTACTCAGAAATCGATGTCTTCTGTTATTTTTTAGTTCATCAGGAAAAGATAAAAGGAAGACAACCGAGCCTCTCATAACAAGGGATTGCAACCATATAGGCCTCTCGAATCAGTTGATCACCTGCATAAACAAAAAAAACAAGGAAACATTATTCACATCTTCAGATAATGTTCAAAGTTCAAACATCTTTCATTTCCAAGTAGGGAAGATAGAACATCAGAATATAATTGACTACGATTAAAGAGTGCCAATGCTGTTATAATCCTTGAGAGGCATCAAATTATAGATTGATTTCCTAAAGTTCCTTTCTCCATGGCCATTGACGCAGTAACAAGTAATGTACTTCAATAAAGATTGTTATAAGTTCAGAACTGTCTATGCCAGAAGTAATTAAGAATATTAAAAAGACATCTCAAAGAATCTAATCCATGAAATAACAAATTTAACTCCTAGAACTTCCCAATTTTCAAAGCATACCACGTAATTCCTGGATAGAAAACTAATCGACTGCCTTGCTATTTTATCCCGACACTTGTAAATTTCTACTGAATAGTGATAACGGGTGTCCACTCAGATCAAATTTCACTTCATTTTGCTTTGTTTTGTTTCTCTCCTATCATTTTGAAGCTCTTCTTGTACCAGCATTCTAACAGACTAAAATGCCATGCCATTTTGCCTAACTCAGATTAGACACAAATCCCACAAGTCAATTCAAGTGAACTCTTAAATTGCTTTTTCTCAATGGAAAAATTGATTCCAATGTATACACATTAAAGAATGTTCAATCTTAAAGTTACCACGAACCATGAAAGACTCCAATTTTTACGTGTTCCATATATCAAAATCGAACATAATCCTCTTGCTTCTTCAATTTTGAAACATAACTTAAAAATAAAAGACACTGGAAAGGGAAATTACTGCGATTAACATTACAAAAGAAACCCTTAGCTCTTACAGTTTAAACACGAGTCTCGGATCTGCCTCACTTATAACAAAAATTGCAAAATCCTCTAAAATCCATGTAAAGGATCCACACAAGCCTTTAATCCTTGATTCAAACCAATTCACCAAAACGACGAACAAGAAAACTGAAATCAGAAAATAGGATTTCTTTACCTCTTGTGCTTCTGAGCAAACGGGGAGTTCTTCTCATCTTCCTCTGCAAAAAGGGAAAACGATTAGTAAAAATGCGATCTTTTAATTTTCATATATTCAGGCATACGAAAAAATACATATTACAAATTGACAGTAAAAAAATTGATACCGGTGAGACCAAGGGAGAACTTGGTGATGATGGTTCCGGTGACGGCGAAACCAACAAGGAATGGCCAGGTGCGGTTGAACTCCCTCTTGAAGAACACGGGCCATGGATCGAACCACCTCTTCATCTTCCTTCGGCTTTCTTTCTTTTTGTTCTTCTGATTCTTGCTGTTTACTTTGGTTGCTGTAAACAAGGGGAGGAGATCGATATTTGTTATCGTTGAAGAAGTTAGATATTGGTTTTATGATGGCCGTCGGATTATCAGACGGTTTTGTTGAGATCGGGTCTATAGAAGGGGTTTGGGGTTTGACGGGCTTAATCAAACTTGATCAAGCCTGTCTCGTTAATGGGCCGTGAGCAAATAGTAGAGTTAGGTGTATCAAATTTCAAAAAGGGTCTTTAAAATTTGAGCAATTGTTCAATCAAAAATTAATTAAGTTGCTTATTTTAGTCACATGTCTCAACTCCTTTTCAAGAATGTAAATGACTCTTTGTAGATATTTCTATATAATTAAGATGTTATTTTACATATTTTGTTTGATGTTTACATGTACATGTTTTGAAACGAGTGTCTTTTGCATAATTACAAGTCTAATCGATTTTAATAAATTATTATTGATTTAAGAGTAATGGTTTTTGAGAATAACGACTGGTTTCAGAGACGTCCAAAAGAAAAATATTTGCAATTTGATCCAATTTTTAAGGTGCATGCAAGAAGATATTAATATTATATATAGCCGGAAACAAGGTCAAGCGATGACACATTGATTGATTAGAATTCTATCGAAGTCGGATCATAATTAAATCAATTCATTGGATTATCAAACAATTATTAATAATCAATTTAGGAATTATATTATTATTTATATCAAATACGAGTTCTATGTTAAATAATATCATAAAAATTTATCAGAAATACAATCTACTCATAACCTTTGATTTTCAAAACTGTAATACCCCAAATTTTGATCAGTGACTAAAATATAAGTTTTGAAAGTTTAGTGATTAAAGTATAAACTCTAAAAATTATAGGGACTGAAATTATAATTTTTAAAAGTTATATATTTTAGCCGAACAGTTTGGAAGAAAAATATTTTAGTGGAAATCATATTTTCAGTATGAGATTTGTGTTAAAGGCTATAAAGCGGTAAAGTTCGATATTGAAATCGGAAAATCAGATCGAATCAAAATTTCACGAATGTGAAGGATGCTAGATAAATGTTAGAAATATTATTTATATATTTTTAAAAAGTGAAATTTAACATGGATCAATGGAATTAAGGTCGATTTTCTATGATAAGCCAAAATTTTAGAATTAGGTGACTAAATTGCAATTTTCAAAAATTTCAAGGATAAAAGTATATAATCAGAATTGAGATATTTTTTTATGGATTTGATGATGTAAGGGATGATGTCATAAAGTGGTATAGATGAAATTATTAAGTTTTATTAAGGACAACATGGTAAAGTGGATTAAATGAATTTAAAATTCATTTATATTAGATAATGACATGTGTTAAAAGATATTTTAGAGAGAGAAGTTCAGCTCATCTTCTCCTTACTGCTGTGAGACTCCATTAATAAGGTGATAAGCTTTGTTTTTAAGTTTTGGTCTATTTTTACTAGAATTCTAAGTTAGGTTATTAAAGATAAAATAACATACATGAAATTCTTTCATTTGGTATAAAAATCTTCATGTTTTCATGCTGAAGCTAGTAAGATGTTGATGAAGGGGATGTGTGATTTTTATGATTAAAGATCAATTCTTCATATTAGAAGTATTGTAAGAATTGATGAAGAACTTAAAGATGTAAATTAATGAAAAACAGTTTAGATTTTGAATATGACAGTGAGTTTGAAAATTTACCATAAATTCTATAAAAATTATTTGGAGTTGATTTTTTATATATTTGTGTTCATATGTCAATATAGTTTTGTTTAAAATAAACGGGGATCAATTTCAAGGTATATACAAAAAGATATGAATTTTTAACTGAGGAAAAGTCAGAAAAAACGAGGTAGCAGATTTTGCACAAAACAGATTTTGTCGGTGAACTTTGAAAATTCACCATAAATTGTACATAATAAACTAGAAGGAGTTCTTTATATGGATATATTCGTATTTGAGTCTAGTTTTCAACGGAAGAAACAAAATTAAATTTCAGTGTGTATATCAATACAAAATACTGATTCTTTAAAGGTAGTGTGAGTTGTCTGAATATTGAAATTTTAGAATTTAAGTGGAAATGGATTAGAAGTTGAAGAGTAATGTTTAAATGTTTGAGTATATTTTTTGATGCTTGAAATTGAAGTTAAATGGCAAGAGGCCATTTTGAATAAATTGGAAATGTTGAGAAGAATTCTAAAAGAATTCATTTTAATGGTTAGATGGTGGAATTCGAAAGGTTCCAAAACTTTGGGGACTTGTTTGCAAGTTCTTAAATGTAGAAATATTATTTGAGTAAATTATTGAATGCTGAAAAATTTATTAGTATGCTGAATTTTGAATTAAATATTGAGTTGAGGTTGAATTACAAATTTATAAAGTTAAGTGTTGAAAATCGAAAGTTTAGGAAAGTTTGGGTTGAAATTTATAATGTTTTGAATATTGAAGATTTGATTAGGGTAATTTATTCAAGTGCTGGAATGTTTGTAATTAATGTACAATGATCATAATGGTGAAGGACCATTATGAATTAAATGGAAAGGTTGAGTTGAATTCTAAAAAGAATTCATAATTTGTGGCTTATTTGTGTAATTTAGCAAAGATGAAGGGTTAAAGATGAAAATAAATATTCATGGATTTGGAAGAGTATTTCAAAAGTTGGAAATTATAATAGAAATATGATTTAGTTTGATATCGATTTTTATTTTGTAGATTTTCGAATATTAAAATCAGCTTATATTAGTACAATACTAATATGTAGTTTGAATAATTTTTGTGTTATAATTTGGTATTGTCAGACTACGATAAATCTAGCAATGCGAATGATTCGAAAGGAAATGACAAAGCTCGTGACTAGGATTATTATATACAAGTTATGTAGTGAGGCAAATGTAAGTGCAGTTTATTTATTTAATTATTCTGATTGAAGAAGAATTGCAATAAGTCAACCTCATATTATCTTTTAAAAATATGGTTTTATTCAAATCATTGAATATTTCCATAATAACATATAAAGGATTTATGATTATTTTGAGTATGAAATTACCCAATACATTTTTATATGATCTTTTCTGAAAAAGGTATTTGAATGAATTCTTTTTATAATGATTTTAAAGAATGATATTTATTGTTAATGATGAAATAATTTCTCGATGATTTTAGAAATGTTATTTGAATTATTTTGGGTATGAACTGCCCATGTCATGTTTTACGAATGTGAAATAAATATATTTCTGATTTTGATATGATTTTTTATCAAATGATTACGAAATGAACTGAAAGCCCACTGTATGTTATATTAAGAGTTAAAGGTACAATTGGCATGCCATGAGGTGGAGTAATTATTTGTTCTGATTATGATATATTGTGGTGTATCGGAGTGTACACTAGTAATTATATTTTGATTTGAATGCACTTTGTGTGCATATTGTTATTTCCAATGTGATAACACTGATTATGTTTATATGTTCCGACTCTGATGAGCTGAGATTTGTATTACACACACTCGTATGACTCACGTACCTTATATTCTCTTAAAATATACTTTGGGCTATAAAAATGAAATACGAAAATTCTGAAAAGTGTATGATAACAAAAAAACATGGACTGATTATTTTGTCTAATCTGATTTATTATGATTTTGTAAAAATTATCAGATGATTCTTTTCAGGTTTCTGATAAAGTTCAGCATGGGATATTTGGTTTTGGAATTTATGAAAATTCTGTTTGTTTTATTTTAAATATTTTATGTATTTTGATATTTTATTGAATTATTCTCACCTTCAGTATTACTGCCTCACTAAGTTATACTTAGCGCGTGATGATTTTCATGCGTATGGTCTGATTGAGATACATACGTTTTATGAGGAGTCTTCCAAGCATCATGTGCAGATCATCTATAATACCAATATCAATAAGACATCATTGAATTTCTTTTGACTAATAGTGACATGTATATTTATGTTATCAGTCTACTTTATCAGTTTTGATTAAATGGTTGGTAATAGTAAATTAGGATTGTTCAATTTGACTAGATTAGCTTATCAATATTTTAATATGCCTAAAATTATATAGTAAATAAAATAGTATGTTTTTAAATGATATGAAAATTCAGGTAGATAAAAATCGTTGATAAAAAGTTTAAATTATGAATGTTTAAAAAAAATTAAGTAATTGTGAGTAGTAATCGTTAGTCAGATTGATGTGACATCTATTACTCATATTCTTAAATGTTTACGGGCTATTGGTGTTACAAAAACTCATCTATAAAGTTTTGAAACCACCAAACCTACTATCTATAAAGTTTTAAAATCTTACTGATGAATTTTGAAAAATACCATATTTTACAATTAAGGTTGCCTTAAGTCCCGATAAATTTCTAATTACATACTTCTTAATTAAATAACATATAAAGACATATTTTGACTTTAAATTACAGTCAACATGTAACATAATGTCAACAAAAAATCACATCCAACTGATCTCTATTTCATTTTCAGTTCATACCAAACATTTAACACATAAACACTATAGTTGGAATATATTCTCATACTTTAATAAACTTATACATTAATAATTCTTACTCCAACTTACAAAACCATTTCAATTTGTACATGACATTTTTTCTATTAAGCTAAAGGTTTACAAAGTAGTATTTGTTATAAGTACTTTCAATTATTTGACCAGGGGTGTTTATTTTTCAGTTCTAACCGAATTAACCAACCGAACCGAATTAGTTCAGTTAATTCGGTCAGCCACCTAATTAGTTTGGTCGGGGAACGATTAACATTTTTTCCAATATTAGGTTAACAGTTAATTCGGTTCAAAATCGGTTAATTAACTGAATTAACTAAATTAGTTTGGTCCCATGGAAGGCATTTCATAATTCGGAGGTCTCCTACGGAAGTTGCTCTCAACCTAGTGTTGGGGGCATCCTACTATCTTAGCTCCCCCTTACCCCATTACAAATGGGAACAAGGGACTTGTTTTTTTTAATTAAATATGAAATATATTATATATATTAAATACATATATTAAGCTCAAACTCATTAAAATTAAGACTCAATTATTTTTAACCACAGTAAACTCATTAAATTATCAACAACTCATTAAATTATCAACAACTAATTAAAATTTTAACCCAAATAAAAAAATTCTATTATATTTAAATTAATCTAATTAAAACAATTATAAAAAAATGCGATTAACCAGCTGAAATAATCGAACATTTTTTGGTTCAGTTTATATTTTCAGAAAAAAGTTCGGTTCGATTAACGGTTAAAAAAAAGCTTGGTTAATTCGATTCGGTCGGTGGTACCGACAGAATTAACCATTCTCTATATTTGACAATGAATGTTCAATCACCCTTGCAGTTGCCGGTGCTCAAATCTATGACCTCTAGAAACAATAACAATTCCAAACCACCCGATAAGTTGATTCGTGCGTACTTATGGCATTCTTTAACGCTTTAAATCTTTGTCAACAACATAAATTATTCAATTACTTTTATCACATCTTTGTTACTCTACTTTAATCAACACCTTTACGTAGAGCACTTTGAAATACATTTATCACATATTACACGTCATTTCATACTTTTTTTAATTTATATAATATCATATTACATTGTAATACACTTTCAAGATTTATATTCTTGCATAAAATAACTTGATATTGTCATTCTTTTGTATATCATAAATATAACAAACATGATCTCAACATAACACATATAAATACATACATCAAAATTGTCACAATGCCCTCAAAGACATACCATCCTTCTAGGAGTGTAAGGACAAAGAAACATTACATAACAAATGTCAAAACTTAAATTGTGACTTTGATAATGCAATCTAAAATCAATATATCTAATACAGACTCTTGCAAATACAATAAACAAAGTAAGTTTTAAAAAGCTTAATAAGATAGTTAAACATATTATATACAAAGTATATGTTCAAATGGTTTCTCAAGTTCTTAAATTTGTTTAATTTAAAAAAGCATAATATAACATGCAAGTGTATCGACATACTCAATTTTTATTATACTCACCTAATTTGAGCTTACAATATTCATTAAATTTATCAATTACTCAATTTTTATTTGGTTTGTTCTTTATTCGAATAAACATACAATTCTATAGACTCAAAAAGTACAAAATAAGCATATTTCAGGTTTGGGTGCAAATATATTAGCACTAATGCAACTAATCCTATTAAAATTATGTAATTAATATATTTGGAAAAATAATCTCTTGGGAAGTTCTCGTTTTATAACTTTATTTTATTTTAAAAAATAATATATGAAGTTTATCTTATTAAAGATTTTAATATAATATAGATGAATGTATTTTAGTATTTGAATATTTTTTTACTGTTATTTGAAATAAGATATAATTTAGTTTATATGAGTGATATAGTTAGGTTAATTGAATTTAATTCAATAATTTAAATTTAAATAATAAATCTATTCAATTGATAAAACAATGGCATAAACTCCAAATTCCAAACCGGAAACCGGAGCTATTTCTCAATTCTCATTGAATTTCCCCCTTCTTTCCCGTAATCCGCCAAAATCAAATCAAAACTGCCTCAAAAAGCCTCGAACCCGCCGAATTTAAAAATTCTACAGCACTCAATCCGTGTCACATGTCGTGAAATCGCTTTCAGCCGTCGATGATAATTCTATCAACAATTTTATTAAACATAACACGGATAGATACTCTCGAGGAAAATCAGATCCGGAATTCCGAGCTCCCAGAGTCAGCGCATGAACGTTGTACTCCTGATAACCGTCAACTAACAAGGAATCAACGGTATACATGCTCCTCAATATTTTCATGCGGATCGATGCTTTTACCCGTCTATAAACATTTTAATCGTGCGACTCAGATTAATCCCCGCCAAACTATTCAAAAACCGAAAGAACCAATAATTCGCTCTATAAATAACAACACAGTCCAATTTGAGCCCACACTATCATTTCATTCTTGCCTCTCCTTCTTAAATCTGTAACTTTTTCTTCTAGAAATCCCGAAGCTTTCAATAACAATGTCGGGAAGAGGGAAGGGGGGAAAGGGGCTAGGAAAGGGAGGAGCCAAGAGGCATAGGAAGGTTTTAAGAGATAACATTCAGGGCATTACTAAGCCTGCGATTCGTCGTTTGGCTCGCAGAGGAGGAGTCAAGAGAATCAGCGGCCTGATCTATGAAGAAACTAGAGGTGTATTGAAGATCTTCTTGGAGAACGTGATTCGTGATGCTGTGACCTACACTGAGCACGCAAGAAGGAAGACTGTTACCGCTATGGATGTTGTTTATGCCTTGAAAAGGCAAGGCAGGACTCTCTATGGTTTTGGAGGTTAAGCTTAGCAATCTTGATAGTAGGTTTAGCTTAGCAATCTTGATAGTAGGTTTAGCTTTTGGACTATTAAGTTTGTGAATGCAGAATCATGAATCTTGGCTATAGATCTTTGCTTTTATGTTGATTATGCTGTTGTAATATTTGATATTTCTAATATTTCCGATGGATTTAGTTCAGCAATGCTTTCGCGTTTTTCCTATATTCTGGTGTTTGATATTCTGAGCAAAGTAACTTAAATATTCAACTTCGCATAATATTTAAAAAACTGATTTACTAATTGGGTATGCAGCCTGCATCAACGATTCCCAAGTAGAAATTGATGCAACTGATTAAATTTCGCTTGTTTGTCTTACTTTTGAGTTCTCAAAAGTATGGATGTAAAAAACTAACCTAATTTGCAAAATTGATTAAAATTGACTTTATAAATTGTAGCCTATAAATATATTCAAAAAATTTATTAAATTAATAATTATATTAATAAGATGGTATTAATAGTAAATGTAAAAGAAATTATTAATTATCATCCTTATATTATTAAATTTACTTTAAATTAATAAATTTACTTTATATATTTATTACGATCATAATATTAAAAAATTATTATGGATATTAAATTAATTTTATTATATAATTCATGAATCATTTTTATGTAATAATTAATAACATAAATATAATATAATTTAAAATTCTAATTTATATATTAAACATGATTCTAGTTATTGATAATATTAAAATATTAGATTAAAAATTAATAACTTTATAAATATTGAAACTAACAAAATGTATAAATTAAATTTCTTACAACTTAATACACCATAATTACAATTAAATCAAGTAAATAAATTTACGTTGAAATTTAAGTTCTTAGATCTTATAGCAAAAGTTTTACAAGGTTGAAAATTTGATTTTGCTACTAGAAAAGTATTCATCAAGCTTTTGTTTATCTCAAAATATCTAAATGCTACCAACATGATTAAATTATGGGTATCTTTCTTAGCTTTAAAAGTTAAAATAACACCAACATAATTTAACCGTAGGTAACTAATTAGATAAGAATCTACAACAGTTCAGTTTTATCAAACCAACAACAACAATTTACAAGGCAATAGTCAGCCTATAAGCAACAATTCATCATTTAGACCAAAATTAATCAGCATTCAAATGACTTCTAGTAAGCATTCAAACCAAGTCCGGTGAACATTCATACCAATCCAATCAATGGTAAAGCCAAAGGGAATACGATGGCCAACAATGTCAAATATTTTCGACTTTACGAAACCTACAGAAGTTAAAACAATGATAAAACATTCATTTATACGCTTGCTGAAATTTATAAAAATTAATCAAAAAGCAGTAAATGTAAAAGCAATAACATGCTTGCTAAAATTCATGAAAATTAATGAAAAACAGTAAATGTAAAAACAATAGCACCCTACAATAAATCATTTCAAGTATTAATGAAAATTATAAAATAAACACACAAAAAAATTACCATAAAAGGAATCAAGAAAAAATTATTCACAAATTCATTCAAATGTGCTTGTTGTAAATGTAAAAGCAGTAGCACCCTACAAAAGCAAAAATATCATTAATAAACAATTTAAATGAAATAAACATCAAAAAAATAAAGGAAATCAAATATTTACCTTTAAAGGGAAGAATCAGAAGCTACAGTAAGATACTCTTCATCCTTTTCTTCTGGTTCAAAATCATACAACTAATTTCGAGTTGTTAAAAATCTCAACATTTTTAGGTAAAAGTTTGACTCTTAACTTGTTCAAAATACGACCCCCATGCTAAAGGAAATTCAGAAGCAACTAAAGTAATTCAAATGACCAATATATCTCTCGCCATGCGAGAGAGTACCAGATAAGAATCATTTTGTGTTTTTCAATACCCTAAAATTGACAAACTTAACATCTTCATTACGGGGAACAAGAGGCAAATTAATGTAGAAATCAACATCTGATTTTCCAGTCCTTGAAGCAACTAAATTAGCATCAAAATTCTAAAAAGACATAAAACAAAATAATTAGAATTGTGAAAATAAAATAATCAAATTAAAATAATTAAGATTATAAAAAACTAACCTGAAATATATCAGATTTTTTAGATGTTCGAGGTCGATTGGAAGAACTTGACTCACTTATCTCTATAAATGTGTTACTTTGGTCAAAAGAAGAAGAACTATAAAGTGCATATTTTGAATAATATATATATATTAACAAACTCATTATATATGACATTTACCATTCGTTTAACATCGTCCTCTACATAAAGAACACTGTATAATGAGTTGTAATTTATATTGATGATCAAGCAAAATATCAATAAACAGAATCAATGAGTGACTAGACCAATATTTCTCATATAATTCAAGCATGGGTCCTGCCATTGCATTAATGCCACAAGGATCATTGTGAGCATCACACAACAACTTTTCAATTACAACAATATTAGTCAAGTACAAGTTAGAGGTGGGTACTTAGATCCAGAGAACATAATAGTAATTTCATAAAATGAATCAAGAAAATCACAAATTGTTTGAATAGTTTCCCACTCATATTCAGTAATAGCATCCAAGTCATTTTCCTTATTCACAAACAAATTAATGGCTAATTTAGCATCAAGTGCCCTATGAATCATTAAGTAAGTAGAATTTCATCGAGTAGGAATATCTAGTAATAGTGTAACACGAAAAAAAGATTCACAATCTTTAACAACTAATTCAAAGGCACAAAATCGAGAATTAGAAGAATCAATAAACTTAACAATTTCTCGTAACTTAATAACAGAAGAATCAATTACCTTCAAACATTTTTGAACTATCAAGTTCAAAATATGGGCAACACAACTTATATAAAAATATTTACCATTGCATGGAAGAGGAGAATTAGCATGCAAATCATCTCTAAGTCTTTTAACCATTTTATCATTTGCAAAAGCATTGTCAAGAGTTGTAACACCCCCAACCCGTACCCGACCCGAATACGAGTCTGAGGTGTCACATCGACCGTTCAAAACGTTTACTTTGATAAAATCTAATGAAATTCAGTTAGACATTTCCAATAAAACCCAAATAATTTCTATTGTATAAAATGTATGGTTTTACAAATTGATCAGAGCGTATCCAATACAAATCTTTTATCTTACATGCCAACTACATTTCATATGACAAAATACATATAATTTAAACATATTTCTGATATGAATTGTGGAAATGAGAATCTGGCCTGTCTTGCTCCTCTAAAATTCTCTTGTTGCTTTTCGGAACCTACGTGTGAAACACTCACACGCTAAGTCTATGACTTAGTGAGGCATTAAACACATAAAAGTAACTCTAACTACTTAATCATGCATGAACATGTCATATCATATCATATCATGCTATCACACAAAACAATATAGCATTTCATGTAATAAAATGTACACATATACACATCATTCATCCTTTCCATCATTAACCTTACTTCACTATCAATGTGATTATTATTTATATCTTGTAATCATATCCTTTCGTACTTAACATTTTAACCAACATGACTCATTTAACCACACAATACACATATCATCATTAAAATCATATGATACAATTCATCTCATAAAAGCATATACATCACATGTAATATGTTTATTGTTATATCTTTGTTTAGCCCATGTACACTTTTGAGAACTATAGATATGTGAGTCTATTGAGGTTGTGCACTATGCTGTCACCACAGCTCGTATGGGGTCTCACTAGGGGCTATGAAATTTGTCCCGAAAAAACCACTATGAAATATCCCGAAGGACCACTGTAAATCCCTCGACTCTTGGCATGCCAACTATATCTCTAGATCTCATAACACATAACATGGGCATTATCTTTATATCGTTTCATATAGTCATATAATCATGTAGTTCACTTCTCATATCACTTTGCATGGTTTTTCATAAACATATATCATATTTTATTCATATATATATATATCCGCAGATACATGTAAGCACATATTTTCTTATCTTATAACTTATGTTACATATGCATGTAATCTTATGACTTATTGTTAAGTAACTCAAATAACATTGTATTATTACATACTTTATTCCATAACCATATATTCACATAGATCACATATCACATATACACTCCTACAATCAAGCATACATATATTTCATATTAATCCCATACTTCATGTACTATACTATCGGAATAGATTTATCGTAAATCAATTTTCATATAATCCTATGCAATAAGATGCACTCACCTTGGCCTCACTACGTTCCAATCCACTTTTATGATTTTCCTCTCTTTCGATCGAATCTTAACTTGATAATCGTTCCAGAACTTGTTCGTACTCGATATCTATATAATCATACATTGATACATATCAGTATCCAATTGATGTATTCTAATCTATCATTTCTTAGACCAAAAGAAAGGTATAATTCTATTTTCCCCTTGAAGTGCATCGATACATTCTACAATGTATCGATGCATTCTTTAACATGTGCATCGATGCACTACCCATGTATCGATACACAAATCACCTTCGATGTTTTCATTTTAAGGGGGTGCATCGATGCACTCCTTATGCATCGATGTACTAATTGCATTCGATGTTCATTTATTTGAGAGTGCATCGATACACATTGAATGTGCATCGATGCACACAACCCAGAAATGATACTTTGAGCACGAAAATCCCTTTCTTATCCTCTCAACTCTTCATTTTTTTCACCCCTTTTTATATTCTCAACTTTCATACACATATTTACACTCATTCTTACTCAATAATCACTTCTTTAACCTCCAAATCATATCCTTTATATGGCATTCAAGAATCATACGCAAATATCAACATGTTCTAAATCTCATCCTAACACTTCATATTCCTTATTTAGATTGATGACAAGTCAAATCAACTTCCAATTCTAATTATTAACTCTATAACAAAATTTCATTCAAAAACTCACAATCTTTAATCTCTTCTAATTCCATCATCTTTTGATTTTAAGATAACTTAAGCTTTCCTTAAGCTTA